CCATCAAAACAATATTGCTCATATGTCGTGCTAGTATCTTCGTCCATCATCACCTGTACAACAGCTTCCAAATTTCCATCATCATCCTCGACGAAAGCTCAAGGATCTTAAGTTGCAGCCACGAGCTTGAGTTGCTGCTTATGTCAGTGATCTCGCTAGAGCTTCGATCATCACTTCTTCCACCATGTAAAATCCTTGTTAGGAAAAATATCAGCAAAGTTCTGTCTAGTAAAAAAAATTGTCAATACTTGCACCTTGTTTCAAAAAATATCAGCAGATTTTTGTCTCATCAGGAAAACAAATTTGATTGTACAACTTGATTGAAAATATACTGTAAGATTCAACTAAAAAAATCTTGCGATTTCGATTGAAAATCCAAGAGTAAAATTCGATTGGAAAGACTAGAAAACTAAAACAAGAGAAACTCGACTGAATTGTTCAGTTTGAATCTTTCTCTCTAAAACATCGACAAACTGTCCAAACTTGGCAGTTTAGCAACTCTGAATGTGAACCGTCAAAAAAAGTTGTCACTTGTCAAAAACTCGTCAAGAAATCTCATCTTAAAAACCAATAATAAATCTTGTCTTAGAAAACATTAAGTGAAAATTGTCACTGACTAATTTATTTTTTTGCCAAACTACAGATCCGAACCGAAAACCGACTCTAATACCAATTGTAAACGTTGAAACCTGAAACTCAAGCCAAGCCATCAACATGAGACATAGAAAATAACGTGATTCATCCTCAAGAACTACATCAACAGGCAAATAGAATCGTGATATTATACTATGAGTACTAACTGGTAATGCACAAACCTTTGTGTATATGTATCCAACATCGGCAACCAATCTTGGCTATAAATAGCTGAAAATAAGTTTACTCATTAACCGAAGTTAACCTCAATAAATGTAAATAATGGAGAGACAAATTTAAATATATAACAAACACATGTATTTTAATTTTGCATATATAAAAATTGATATTAAATTTAAAATAAAATTTATGATCATCATAATGTGACAATGATTGTATGAATTTTGTGTGCACAAATTTTTTTGGAAATATTATAGCATTTTAAAAATTCAAATATTATAACAAGATTTTTAAATTGAATTATCATATTTTTTCATATTATAAATCTTTAATTTAAATGAAAATTTATGTTAAATTGAAATTCAAATTTTTTATTGATATTAATCATAAAAATTATAATTCAATTAATGACGCTAGAAAAATATATTTCGAAATTATTAATTTTTTAGTTGGAATTTATCTTGCTATATCATAACTGAATATTAAATATAACCAACAAATATTTAATAAAAATAATTTGAAAAAATATTATTTTTAAATAATATTTTTCTATAGTTAATTTTATTAAATAGAAAAAATTTATTGTCGTATCAAACAAAAAAATTAAAAGCAAAGAAAATAAATAATTTTTAGCTCAAAATTTTATAATATCAATTTTTTAATAAAAATTGACAACTATTAAGAAATACTTGATAAAAATTTATCTTATATTTAAAATCATATTAAAATATGTGTATTAATTTGCATTATTTCATGACAAGAAACATGATCAATCATCATTACTTAAATTATTTTTTAGTAAATCTATATCGTAATAGGAGCAGTAGTGATTAGATTTAGAATATTAATTTATATTTCAAATTTCAAAATCAAATTTCCAATTTCAAACCAAATAAATTGTATTGCTGCCACTCAATACTTTAAATACATTGTTCATTGAGATTAATAAATCTGCAAAAATAAAATTCAACTTATGCATACATTAAATATAAGGACATGTAAATGTGAAGATTTTTTTTGTCTAATTTTTTCCATAATTAGCATCAATATAACATAACAAAAATTTGATATTGTTTAAAAATCATCTTAAAATAAATTTTTTATTTCTATTGAAGCACCAAATAATTAATTTATAGCTTTCAATATACTTTCAATGAATTTAATATGTACATGTTTCTTTTACTCATAATTAAATTTAAATTCAGTTTAATGCACTCCATCAAATACATTAGATTTTTCATTATCTTATAATTATAAGTGAATGAAAATCATGAATGAATCAACAAGCATAATAATAGACAAGAAGCATAACACGAAAAGAACGACTACACAGACATTATACATAGTTTGACTTTCCTGGCTATGTCCACGGAAACATATAATATGTTTAACATGGCAAGTAAATCTGCCGTGCTAAGTTGTATGATAGGGAATCTAAAACCTTAACTTCCTTGTCTAGGTACATGAGCAAACCGTCACTGAAGGTTTAGGATTTAGGATTGGGACGTGAGTTATCGCTAATAGAAATTAATGACATATATTTTTATCTCAAATATATCAGTTGAGCTGCAAAAAGCTTGAAATGTGATTTAAAAAGAAGTCCATTTTTTTTTCTGTCAAGCATACATTGAATGTAATTGACCTTATTTATATTATATTTTTGTTCCTTTTCAAAAAATTTTATAAAAAATCAAGCCTTTTTTTGTCAATTGATCAAAATATTTTATTTTGAATATAAACTCAAGTGAATCTTTGCATTTACAGTAGAACCTCTATAATCTTATCAAGCTGGGAACGGCCCTTTTTTATAAGTTTATATAAGTGATAAGTTTCTAGAGTTTATTAAAAAAAATTTAAATTGATTCATTTAATTTTGCTTGATTGGTCTCAGAACCATCCGGAAGTTTGCAGAAAGGTATGGAAAGTTAGGAAGGTTACGGCAAGGAATGCAGGACCTCGAAAAGACATAGAAGTTGTTTGATACCCAGGTTCTGTGTGTATTGGCTGTGGTATTGTAATGGGGTGTGTAGGGCACTGTATCCTGGCGTACTGAATACAGTTGGACTGTGTAGAAGAAAACTTCTCAAAATGTAAACAACTTAACCCAGGAAAATCCCTAACCCACGTCAGATACTTAAGCAGCCAACAAACAAATGTGAACAAAAGCTTAGGCAGACAACCATTACAAGTTTCTTTAGTCGATCATAGTCGTACAAATGTAGCTCGGAAAGCACATCAACCTGAATATAAGTTTATAAAAAATTCGGGGCAGCCAAAACTTGATAAGTTATAAGATTATAAATTTTTGGCCTGGTCCCATGCCGGGACCGCACAATTTGATAAATTTTCGGAGGTTATAAATTTATGGAGTATAAATTTACAGAGGTTCTACTGTATCAATGTAGGTTTGATTTTTTACTAAATAAGCATGTGATCTACATAAAATAGTTGAACGATGAGACTATGATTTTCATTATTCAACTTTATCATGTATAAATATGGATCAAAAATGTTTTGCAAAAATCATTCAGAATTTTTGAACTTCTCAAACCTTAAATTTCATAGCACAAAATATTGATTCAATACATAGAATGATTTGAGCAATCAACTTATTCGGATGTTTTTTCAAAACCACTTGGTTGTTTCATATAAATTTTCTCCTCTAAATGTTTTAAAAAATCTTGTGACTCTATACGTATAATCCATAACCACATGAAAAATTACAGCAAGTGTAGATATCAATCAAATAGTAGCATATTTGAATAAAAGTGAAAAATGAAATTGTCTCACATGTAAGAAAGTATGCTACAAGATCTCGAGAGGAATCACATGCATCAGCTTTATCCTCCTTATAAAAGTGAACAGGAAGCTAAAATCTTTCATTCAAGGTTTACATAACTCATTTTTGTATGTTGTAAGATGTTTGGAACACACATCAATATATACCATGGTTATAAATTGCAATGAAGAAAATCATGGATTATGGCGAATCTTGATCCAAGGAGCATAATTAAGAAACCTTTTGCATCAAACTTTATTATATAAGGGGTACATTCCAAGGTCTAAGAAAATAGGTGTTCGCTAGCTACAGGAAAGGAAGTTCAAGAAACAACACATGTGCAAGCAACATCCTATCAAGATCAAATGGAACTATAGAGTTGTTAATCAATTTTTACGATTATTCAAAAAAAACTCTTCACACAATCATTCTTATTTAAGAGTTGTGTGAGTGACAAGTCAACTGATTGTCGGTGAGTTCATTAAAAACAGATTTCATCTTAGGATTAGTTCGCCAGAATGGAATCCATCTTTCTATATTCTTGCTCTCTATTTGATTATCTAGGTGCTAGTCCGGAGAATGCTGACACCGCGAGGTTGCAATCAAAATATTTAGTGTTGATCTCACCATCTACTCGCTCCAAAACACATACCACAATGGTGCGCATTTGATTATTATCTTTCTCTTTCCGCGCATAGGACAACATCCACAATCCGATGCTACTTTCAACAAACCGCTAGTTTTTTTACACTCTTCAACCAATATTTGTACTTCACTCAACAACATGCTTGCTGTTGTTAATGCTACAATCGCAATCAGCACAAGGATTATCTTTTCACGTTCTAATACCAATCATTAGAGATCCATCATAAAAAGAATATAAACCATCACAAAAGATATAGCAAATTTGTGGCTTATATAAGTGAACTCACATTAACAGAAACACATTTTTTTTCATTAAAAATTAAGCGTCTCACAAAAAACTATCACCCGCTTTCAAATATAGCTACGGATACACTATTTTTTATTAACTAGAGTAACAAAAATTTGAGTTAACAATACATTAGTATGAACATATAACCGAAATATATCTTGAGATATATAATATGCAAAATGTAGTGAAAAAACTGTAGCAATATCACATCACTCTAATCAAGTAAGAAAACAAACAATAGCTAAAGCTAGGTTCTAATAATATCATGACGAGAAATGTGTATCTACAACATATAGACTTTGAAACTATCAAGACAAAGACATGATTAAAAGATTACATTCAGTTAATGAAATCAAATTAAGCAATATATGGACTTTATGTATGGATGTGAACAGTTACAAGGGTACTATCATGTAGCCTGTAGTTTTGGTGAATAGTTATCTCAAACTGCGCCAATCCTTCTTATGTTAATTTGCAGATCCATTAGTGTACATTTATAGAAGTAACATGCAACCAGAGAGCGGGGACATAAACAAATAATTGGTTGGTACAATTGTCAGTGCAAGAGTTATATGCATTGTCCTTGGAAGATAGATTCTCCGAAGTTAGACTTAAACTTGAGAGTGGTATCTTCTCCTTTACGCAGGTAGACGTAGACGCTATGTTCGTGTGGAAATCCATGACCTCAAATTCATGAAACGCCTACAGTTTGGCCAAAAACAGGGAGGCCATGGAAAAGTGATAAAGAAACGAAAAAGTCATCAGTGGCAAGATTCACCTACTACGTAAGAGGTCATCCATCAAGCTCAGAGCAGAGGGTCCACCTTGGCCCTGCTGCCTACTTCTACTACTACGTACTGTCGTAGTAGGTAGGTACAGTACTATGACAGAGAGTAGTGAGAGTAGTGTGTCCCGTGTCGTAGAAGCAGTGGGGCCCAGTGGGCCAAGACAAGCGGCGGATGGACCATGGAAGGTTTTCGGGGAGGAAGGAAGGAAGGAAGCTCCGGGGAGAGGAGGAAATGGATGGAGCTGGGGCAATGAATGCTGCAGATTTCGGTCTCAGTTGGTTGGGTCAGTCAGTTGGCGATTGAACGAGCATTGACTCGCGTCTTTAGTGAGCGAGGGGACAACCGGCCACGAATTTACAGACGAAGTTGGATGGATGGTTCGATCTCTGGCTACTACTTTTAGACTGTCATCGTCGTCGTCGTGGCCGGTAGAGTAGACTGCGTCCACATGGCCTGGCTCGAGGCCTGCCTGCCTGCCTGCCTGCCTGCCTGCATGGTCTGACCGCTGGCAGGCCATTTTCATTTATCTCATGTCCACTCGGGTGCGAAACGACAAGCGGGGCGATGTCCGCTGGATCTCCAGGGGGTGCCCCCTCATTACAGCTCATGGTGACCCAGGGAGGGCGCCCTGCCCTGCCCTGTACAAATGGAAAGTTGGGATCTCGACTCTCGAGATGCCGAGTTCTTTAAGTAAATCCCGCACACTGATTGCCCTTTCTCCCTCGCCCTCGCCCTCGACCCTCGACCCTCGCCGCTTGCTCTTTCCTCTGGTCGACTACCCTCGAGCGCTTCAGATGGTCAGACCCACCTTTCCGTGTCCCACGATCCCTGCTGCTCAGCAAGCAGGCCCCGTGGTTCTGGCGCAAGGTCCCCGTATTTGGCTTGCCTCGGCTTCTCTTTTCCCGACTCCATCGTCGCCTCCATTCCGGGACATCCATATTCTGAACGCGAACAATCATACTTTAGTATCGCAGGAAGATCGCGGAGATGTTAACGAAGATTGAGGAACAGGGGAGGCAATCGTCTCTGTCAGGCAAAACACGAGATACCGCTTCGCCCACTCTAGTCATCATGTAGGCTTGTTGACGCCGAAGCCATTACCGTCGTTTTCCTCTTCATTGGACGCTTCCATCAGAAATATAGAAAAAGTTATGTGAAGACCCCCTCCGATGGTAGGATGGGGCTAGGCCCCAGAAGCATCACAATGGACATAATTTTCCTTGTGATGTCATTGGAATATGTCCTGTTGCACCTACTATATTGAAGTATCTTGGTCAAAAGGTAGTCTTTGAAATCATGCATCCCCTTCAAACCCGAATGCCGGATTGAGGCGACGGTGGCGGACTTGCTTCGCGGGGGCCGACTCTTAGTGACTTTCAACACATGCAGGGCGGTGGGAGATTTTGTAGTTTGCTGCTTCTGTTTGTCCTTCCTTGTCGTCGCTGCAGTTGCAATCCCCAAAGTGATGTTAAGTCCATCTTCTCCATGTGCCGGAACGATAAGGATGTCTGCAAGTCCTGCTAGGGGAGGATATATTCAGCTACATTCCAAGTATCGTGCATGCAGACATCTATCATGCTAAGTCAAGGTTCACGTCGAGGCTGGATAAGAAAAAGAATTGGAAACGCCTGAGTTTAAATAAGTAAAACAAGATGCTATAGAACCGAGTGATCGAAATTCCACGGTGCATCATAAACGTGGCTTCCACAAGGTTACAATGGAAAGGTTCTTCCCATTCTTATCGTTTTTCTACTCTCCTCTTCCTGCTGAATGCCAACCCTCGCAATCCAGACAAATATCTGGAAAAACACAGTACTTTTCTATACGGCAGAATGCAGGTCCCAACGAACAGAAATAAATAGAATTGCCCGGTGATTACGGGCATGATGTTGTTTATGATGGCAGAGAAAACCTCGGTCAAACTCATGATAGGCCAACGCTAATATTAAAACCCCAGCGAATCCAGCGTACAATTTAGAATGCTGGAAGAAGACCGATTCCGGAAGCAGGTCAAGACCTACCAGGAGCTGGTGTTACACACTTTGACGTGCTCACCTTCCTCTTCATTCAAGCCGTGTTTCGTCCACAAACAATCGTGCCAGAACACATTTGAAAATCACTCCTGCACCACGTAAGATTGGCGCCTCCAGAGGTTTGCAATCTTCGTCACAACCGGAACCCGTAGTTTCCATCAATCATGCGCTTTGTAACGGCCCAGGCCACCACCAACGAGGAATGGGATCATGCGCAAGTGAAATTGAAGTAATCGAATCGATTCCTTCATGAATGAGCACTCGTATGTGGCATAACTCTCGCATGAGATCACAGCAAAATTGTGACCCGAGGGACGGTGGGACGCATCATGGGAAGTGTATGACCGCCTTGCTCTAATAAAGAGGAAATTTGGGCAAAGGATACGTGCTCTTCTGTCAGGAGCTAAATTCCTTCTGTATCACCGTAGGCTAATCATCGCTCTAATCATGCTGCTTAGCCATTAACTCTCAGGACCGTACCTTAATCAGTCAGCAACTGACTAAGCAAGGTAGCCCGACTTCTAAGTTCAAACCGAGGCGCCGGGCGCCCAGCCACGCTCCCTCCGTCCGTTGTCAAACAGTATTGCCGTTATGTACGTCTTGTCGCTGGTGAAGGACTTTACTTGCGGTAGCGCAAGTAAAGTCTATACGGCGTACCTTTCATTAACCTCTCGCCCCTCCATCTCTGGGGCAGTTGGCGGCCTCCAAAACGATAGGGACGGCTTGAGAAATGTAGAGAGACTCGGAACGTAGTGAGCTTAGCCGGCCCTACCTTCGTGACATTCATTTGCATCTGAAGCCTTAAATGAATGAAGGACCGTACCTTCGAGTTCAGACCATGTCCATGTCTGCACCCTCTGTATGTGCGAAGTCAGCATGGAAATTGAAGGACGGTGGTTTCGTATTTCGTTGATGGTATTCATACGCCTGTAGGTCAGGAAACATACGTTTCTGGAAGGCCGTCCGATCATCCATCGGAGGATGGATAGGTGCTCTTCTCCTGACTGAACGAGCTTCTGCGCTCAGTTATTAGCGCATTCACGTTCGTTCGGTGCGTCAGGGGCCTACTTAAAGTAAGCAGCGGGAGCGAGAGGTCTTGAAAATTACGACTTCCGCCGTGGGACCCTCCCGCCACCTCCCGAAATTTCAGAAATTCAGAACCCCCCGCGACAGCCATATCTGTGCCGCTCCAGTTCGACCGCCATTCTACCTACATTTCATTTCTACCAGTGACATCGTCACCCATGGCAGCTCTCTGCTAATCGACTGATGGATGCTAATGTATGCAGTCGGCCGGAATGTGCAAAGACATCAAGATACGATCTGCGACAAATGCTGCAGTACATGGTTTTGTTGTAAGTAGGGACGCTTCACGGCTCCACGGCTCCACCGGTGATTTTTTCACGCCCCTCGTTTGTGTTGCACTGACGTCATGCCTCCGATCCTATGTCGAAGGACAGATTGTCGGATATGGTTCCCACAGTGTGAATCGATATAGTCGCATAAATTAGGGTAAACCCGGAACCCTACTTGTAGTCTGACAATTGTGTTAGAAAGTCATTGGTCGGCGTCACCAACATTTTGAATTTGCATGTAGGGCAAGGTTTCAGCCTTCCGAGGAATCCTTTTCTTCAAACCGCAGTTGGCAGTATGTTTCCCTTGCATACAACTAGGCAAGTTGATTCCAATCTCCACAGGCGGTGGAGAAAATGATCGCGGAGAATTTCGAACCATTTTTAAAAGCTGATGGGGTGTGATTGTATAGAGTGGAAGTGGGCAGTCTCCGCGGATATCACGCAATTCCGTGAACCTGTAAAGATAGCCTGATGGATCTTCAAGAACACTGCTTGTTGACCATCATACCTCTATGACAGCAAACTTCAGTACCTCTGAGTTCACAAGGTGAACTATGTGCGAGGAAATGGTTCTCGCTAGACAGTCAATGATTTCCTTTGCATTGGAAGCTCCACTGAAAGGAGGTTGTGAATCACATGACCTGCTGCGTAGAGCTCTAATATCAGGGCCCAGATAAGTAGCACAGCGATAGATACGTCGAGTGCTAGAAACAACCAACGGCAAGTACACACAGCAGTCTTGCGATGCGCAGTAGGGTGATCATTAACAGTGGTAACTGGTCATGACATGGCGGTACAGAACTACTACTCTCGACATTGTTTAATCTACTGTTGACGATGTGCACGTGGAAGCAAGTTGTCAACGAGAACACGGACGGAAACTGTGAGCACTAGTCTGGAATATTTGATAGAATCTATGAAACCGCCTCTCCCAGGCAAGGGGTGAACTTTCCACAACTCTCACGTTGGCTGGTAAGATGACATGGACTTGACTTTTCACATGATGAGCGGGATGGCCCCAACTTGGCGGGAGCCATGGCTCACATCGTTCCTCAGGTCAGAATCCGTACAATGCACCGACGATGTCGTGTGCCGCTTACACCTGTGGCAGTAAACGCAGAGTCGATCAATGTGTTTCGCTCCGCAGTGAGTACCGTTTCACATCTCACCAACCTCGGCAAGGTAGATATAAACTCCACATCGCTACACATCGCTACTTACTAGGCACTATCCACCCAAGTGATTGTCGGATGGAGGGTTTTATTCGGCTCGCCGTTTCATCCCAGCAGGTACATTCTACTTTCATCGAGAGGAGTACATGCACTTGCGGGCAGCATTGCTTTACTTTCTTGAGGATAGGTGCCACATGGTGCTACCCTCGGCTGCCGCTATCGCTTTAATAGCGACACTTCACTTTGTCCTGGGTCATGAATCCAAGCCGCATCCTTTCCCGCCGGCGACATTAACTTAACCCTCCATCCGTTATACACTTCCGCGTACGCAATATATAACATGTTCATTCATATCGAGGCGATTAGAGTACACCATTGATGTCAAGCTAGAAACCTACATTACCCCTCTTCCAGCCATGGCCGCAGTGGCTGTGATCAACAATCCCTCCTTCAATGCAGATGTCACCGTCATGTAATTTCCCGGAAGATACATATTCAAGGTACAAATCCATGGCAGTGGAAGTTTCCAAACAGTCAAATCATGACGACCCGTGTTAGTCAAAGTGTTCAGACAGTACAGGGCTGTTGAAAGGCGAAAAGTTGAAATATCCAGGGCAGGACACATGACTGACAAGAAGACTGTACAGCGCTGAAAATTTGAGATGGAATTCAAAAGCCAAGACCAATGCTCGCGTTGAGACGATTTTTTGCGGTGCCAGAACGTGCGTATTCTCTTTCTTATCAGGGCCCAGAAAAAAGCCTGGACGGTGACAAATGGTAAAAACATTATACAAAAGGGAGCTTCGAGGTGAAACTCCAGTCAGAAGTTGATGACTCAATCAGAAAAGCCTGCAAAAAGTATTCCTACAAAGACGATATCTCATTGACAATTACAGATGCAATTCCCAGTTGCGGGAATTATTGTGCTTATTCCTATGTCACAGAAGCGAGTTCCTCGCATCCCTGGTTGCACTTCATCCTGCCCTTCACTCATCCCCACCTCAGCCTCGGTCGGCCTCGCTCTGATATTGGAGAGATACAGTATGGACAAATTGCTGAGCCTTGAGCTGAGAGGCAGCAACTTCATCGAGGCGGAGCCTCAATCTCATGTCCACTAACAGGAGCGTTTCTTTGTGCCTGAAGAATTTAAGATGCTAGAGCTAATTAATTATTTAAATTCCACACTCCTTACAATTACAAGCAATTGGAACGAATTTACAGAAGCCGAAAGGCTGTACGTTACAGTTGATGCTGTAACAACATGGCAAGCCCGCTTTACAAAAGGTCTTGGCCGCGTCGCAACATTTGCAGAATGCACAACCCAGAAACTCCCCGAGCTTTCGACGGGTACTGTTTGCGAAGCGGAGATGAAACTCCGGTTCCGGAAACATCTCGATCATGTTCCCATCGTCAGTGTGGTAGAAATTCTTCTCGTCGACGGGACTGACGCTAGAATCCAGCTTGTCATCCTCCTGAATCACATCGACGACTCAAACAATTACTTCCTGCGAAGGTATCACAAAATCGGGCGAATCACACTGAAAATACTACCATGCAGCTCAGCGATTAGGCACAGAGTCCGAGCTCAAGATGCAGTCCACCGACAATATTCTCGGAGGTCGACCAGGTCTTAAAAGTCCGAGACCTTCGTTTGGGTTGCAGATAGTGGGACCAGGTTGGAGAAGGGAGAAAATAAGAAAAAGCAGCATGGGAGATTGCGCCCCGAAGGCATTTGACCAATATGGAAGCATGGAAATAGGAATCAAGTAGCGCTCTTCACCGCGAAAAGGTTCGCCAGCCTCGCAAGCGAAACTCGGCAGTCAGAGCAGACTGGGGGGATTCAAATATTAAACGAGCGGGTGGAGAATCATGCAGGATGTGCATGGAGTTGCGTCATCCAATGTTGTACGGTAGGAGGATACAGGCTGTTTAACTGGTGGAAGGCACAACTTCAAATCTACGTGTTACTCGCTCAAGGCGGTCGGGGCCGACGCGCGTTGACGACCGGGTGCTCGCGACTGGCCTCTGACGTAAAACACTTCGAGAGACTTCGCATCCAGCGCAGAAAATTCTTTTATTCCACGTTGACGACCGGAAGAAATTTTCTGCGACCCAACAGCTTCGGCAGAAGCCATCTGCCACACGGCAGAGTGCCACAAAGCGGCAAATTAACCGCTCACGCTGTCTACATTCCTCGTCAGAATCTGTGTCACAGGTCCTATTATTCATCGATAGAAGCGTTCACTCTCAGTAAGTTGCTCCAGCTGTTTATAGCAGCTCTAGTCTAGGTATGAGTCTCCTCGAGACTCACAATACCAGACGAAGTTTACGTGTCTGGCGCAAGACATGGCGCTCGTATCGTGGAAGCGCAGCATTTCAGAGACCGCAGAGGAAGCTCCACACGAAACCTTCCTGGTCATCAGACTATCCACACAAGGATAGCAACGAAGCTCATGCGCTGTGTGGATTAATCGTTATTCCAATGCACACGTGCACGGGGCTGTGGTCGTGTGTCGTCTAAGGTAGTTCAGTTCACCTTCCTCACTGAAGGCGAACTTGACGATTTTCAAATAAGAAAAACGACTACGGATGAAAATGTCCTAAATGAGGGAGAGGAGGAACATAAAGAGGGGCACGAAGAAAAGGGTTATAAGAAAGCTCAGAGTCCGCGACTGGCATCGGGTGGCAGCATTCTGTGTTTCGGAAATAGGGTCCGGTGAAAACAGCATGAAGCCCGGACAAGCACCGTCTCGACAACATGCATGTAACTAAAATCACATACGCAGAGCAGAAACCTGAGAAAGAGGCAGGCACTAACCTCGGAATGTCTCAATTCTATCCCGAGCACCAACTGACCTGCACCGTCCAAAACAAAGTGCATTGCTCATCAGAGACTCGAAAATACCCCTTCCTGCTCGATGTCCAGACAGAGGAGAAAACGTACAATCCATAGCGCAACCTCGCACCCATTGCTCACATACACCACAGGTTCCTTGGACGTTCGCGTATACCAAATTTGTTTCTCTTTCGTCCAATCATCCCGGGTTCCACATTGGTATATAGAGATCACCATCGTCCATCCGAAACGAAACCAATCGAATCCGCTTGACTCGGGCAAGCAGAATCGATGAACGAAAAAGACATTCAACATTTCGCTACCACGGTCGCCGACTGAGGTAAAGACCACTTACAAGTGAAAATGAAGCACAAGAGAATGCACCAAAAAATGATCAGCCGACGTTGAGCCATTTTAATGGCCCCGGAAGAAAATTCCTCGCAAGGCTTTTGCAAGTCTATCGCACTTCAGTTCGAGAGGCACGACGCACAAGCTATAGCCCACCCGGACAGGCAGACAAACCCTCGCTCGCTCGTCGCTCCCTCACGACCAAGAGAGACCAAGATCTTGAACGTGTGGAAGCTCGCAAGGAATGAAGAAAGGCAGTGAGGCAGTAATGGAAATGGCACACCCTCCCTCGCGGTCCGGCGGGTTGGGGTCACGCTCAGGCTCGGAACACGACAGAACTAAAGACAGCGGAGCAGAGCAGATAGAGATTCAACCAATCCTGTCCGGAAGACGAAGACGCAGGACGGAGGGCCGAGTTCAGAGATTTCGACGAGGCGCGGTTGTTGTGAAGTATCTGCAGCGAAAGTGTTCGGCTATGGAGGGAGGGAGGGAAAGACGGCCAGAGGGATGAGCCTTCGAGGGAAAGACGGCCAGAGGGTTGAGGCTTCGAGAGCAAATAAATGGGAGGCAAATTCGGCCATGCGATTGCTTGCTCCGCTGTAGTACCGGTGTTCTTCTATCCAGCGGCCAGCCTCGAGCGCGAATATTCACCGCACCTGTTCTTATAGCTTCATCGTCGAGCAGAATGAATCTATTTATGGGCCCTCGCCAGGCGACAAATGTGGACCAATGTTCTCGGTGAGTGACACGTCTTCTCGCCACTCCCTCTACCCGGTGACCGCACGGAGACCTCCACGGGCCCCGCCGTCGCCAAACCTGGTCGCGCCGTCGTCTCCCACTTCGTAATCGGTTCCGTTCAGGCCGCGATGAACACGTTTGTGGTGCCTTCCTGCTTAAGACGAGGCCACGAGTCCCGTACTTCTTATGTACTGTAATATTACAATATACAAAGTTATCCACAGACCATGGTCTCAACAAAGTGAGTTCCACATCTAAAATCCTCCATTGGTGCTTGGCTATATATTTTTGGAGATAAGAACTATTTGACTTGGGTCATTATAGAACTATTACATGCATTGATTTGGTACGTGATTCATGATACAATAAGCATGATTTTGATCAATTTTTAATGTACCATGATATATATATATATATATATCAAAGTGTATGGCATAGTATCATTTAGTTATAAGTCTTCATCATCACATGTATGAGTGGCAGATAAGTACTGGTAGTGTTATTGAAATCCCGTTACGTTCTTTCACTTTATCTATCTATACGTTGCACTGTATGTTTGCATGTAAATGAAATTGCTCTAAGAGTGATATTTAATACAATTGATCTTTGATTCTAATATGTACTTTACATTAATTTTACTTCAACGGCATTTTTTTCAAGTTTGAATTGGATTGATGGATAGCTGTACCATAGGATTCTTTGTCAACATCATCATATCAACACCTTAGAATGTAATAAAAGATTTGTCATGGATACACAGATCCATCAGTATATCTTGTTGGGTAATAGACTGATTGTATATAGGGCACATTAGGCGCAAAGTATAAATGGTAAACAGACACTCTCATCAATTTTGTCATATATGTATGTATGAGTACTACTATTTTTCTCCTTAAGATGTATGTACATGATGTAGATTATATCCCAGGGCCGTGGATGATAATCATTTTCTAACGATGTATATTCATAATAATGAAAGATAACTAAATTTCAAAGTTCGTACATAAGCTCAATTTTTTCTCTTACATCCATTTGAATACAGTCATCCGGTCCATCTTGAATAAAGCTAATTTCATGATGTTATAGATTTCAACTGTAGTAATCATTAATAATTTCCAAAAAATTGTTCTTGTTTACGTTTTGATTTAATGAATATGCATGTATTAAAATCTTATGTCCATCATGAATCATTAAATTTAAACTTCTTTGATGAGTTTTGTCTGGTTAGATTCACTAATCTACATCTATATTCATGATCTTTAAATGTAGTGGTAACTCAGATGGTTAGTATCAAAAAACATGGAGCCACATGACTTTTCAATTATATAGAGAGCTTACTATAATATCCAATAACTTCAGTAGGGATGTGACTGCTGTTTTGTAATTTGATTGTACATAACTCAGATGGAAGGAAGATCTTGCTCCGTTGGCTTCTATCATGTATTGCTTGATGGCGTCTATCCATCCTTTTCGCTATATAATTCTTAGTGCTTACGAGAGCGGTCTACATGGACTCGCGAAGTACACAACGGGTATTACCATGCACTTTGACAAGATTGAGTTCATCTCCGCCGTCAGTTCATACTCTTGGACAGGGCGGTGTCAAAATTGCTGTTTTAAGCTCATGTTCACACTTGTGACGAAAACGAGAACTTCTTTCTGAAACATTCTATAACTGAATCACCTCTTTTGAGTCTACGGACATAGAATTCGGTGAACAGGAAGTCCTCCCTTATACTGTTCTTTGACTCGTGTTTTATAACTTCCAGCTTCGTTTTTTTATTTTATTTTTTTACTTAAACGTTGTTTCGTCACCATGGTTTCAATTCATTCTCAACAGGCCACTTTACTGGAGTCACATTATTGAGGCTTTCTGCCCAGTCTTCATACACAACACCAGGTTTTTCGTGGATCAACGTGCAGATGTTGAGTTTTCTAAGTTTTGGTGATATTTTCATCAAAAATGATGAATTTTTTACCCTACACAGTTTTCGTGAATAAAAAGATTTGTTTTGTTCCAAGGTATGGGAAGGCGTGAATTTCCTAAGTTTTCTTTTGCAGCAAAGGGGAATCAGATGATGAGTTTCTAAGTTTTGGTGATATTTTTATCAAGGATGATGAATTTTTAACCCTGTACAGCATTTTGTGAATAAAAACATTCGTTGGGTTCCAAGGTAGGGGAAGGCGTGAATTTCCTTCTTCTGCAGCAAAGGGGAATCACAAGCTTTGAGGAATGGCGATCACCGTGCACGATTGCGCACCACGTCGAAGCGACGAGAGCTTTTCCTTTTTCTTTCTCCTTTGCAAACAATGAGCTTGCGTCGCCGGGAAACAAAGAGTACCCAAAAGGCCAAAGTTCGTTTATTTCATACAACTGTCGTGTCTGCAAAAATTGTCCTCACTGCGTCGATACGTTATGTTCGAAACCTCAATAAACTGGCATACAATCGGACCACGCTGTCGATGGATGGATAGATAGAAGTGTCGTCATTGCGTCACACCATCGACCAAAAGGAATGCACGAACTCCGCCGTTAGCCTTGTACCACAACAAAACGGGACCACTTTCCGATCAGGGAACCTTTACACTAACTGTAGTGTAAACTTAACCCGGGTCCCGGAACCAACCCAACCAGGGCAGACTCCAGGCCCAACCCGGAACTTCTTTAGTAGAGGGATGGCCATGGCCCCATCCTGTCGGCTCGTGTCAACATTCACCGCTGCAGTAGGTACGCAAAATGGCCCGTCGATCGATCACTGGAGCCCCGGGCATTGCGCGACTTCGTCATTGTCCAGGTTAGAAAAGCTTAGATGCACCTCGAACAAGAGAAATCGGGGGCCAAGTAGATGGGAGCCCGCTTACACCGAAAAATCAGGACGGATGCGACAATTATGCTCACTCGCAGCATGTGCCTGCCTGCGCGCGCTTGCGCACCAGAGAATGTCACATTCCAGTTTCTACCCGAAGAACGACAAATGTCTTTAGAGCGGTCTCTGATCCTCTCTCGTTGCTTAGTCTTCCGGTCTGCGCAGAACAGTGCATGCATACGACCATGAATTCCACCTGCACATCATTCCTGAATCCGTCAGGTCCTGATTCTCCGAATGTGACACGCCTCATCAAGAAACCTGAGCCCAATCTTCTGCCGTGCCCAAGATTAGGTGCGTCATCTCATGGTTCTTGAAGAGATCACAGCGCCGGGCGCCTATTACATGTAGTCCCTACTCGCAGGCAGGACTCGTCTTGGATTCCGCCCGAAACGCACAATCACAACCACAAGAGTATTCACGGACTGTCAAAATTTACACCAGTTGTCCCAGGAGCACAGAGCCCCCGCTAACAGTCAGAATAACCTTGTCGCGCATTGTGCCGGTTTTCACTCTGTGTGCAAAAGTAGGAATCATCAGATGCGGAGTGCAGTTAGAAGTCCGAGTGACCGAAAATGGCTGGCTCATAATTATCATCTCTTTAAATAAGCTCTCTCTTCCGTCTCGCACGGAAAGTGGGCCCTCTCCAGTTCGAGCTCGCCGAATTTCTCTCACGTCGCGAAGCGTGCGTTATCCCGGAGATCGCACGGCTGCAGGCAGAGACGAAAGCATAATCACGACGAGAGAGAGACTCACCCGAGGGCGCCCTCAATCGGTGCTGTTAGAAGGCGGTAAATTGAGAGCGCCTCGTCACGGGAGTGGCAGAAACGGAGCTCCATGGAACTGTCCTCGTTCACCCGAATCGCGGTCATTTTCTCATGCGACAAGGTGCTTGGTTTTGACAGGAACTGGACAAACATGCGGTCACAGTGCATGAGAGTCCATAGCTGGTGGGTGGAGAATGCAGAGGAACGCGGGAACACGCGAAGGACGCTCGTCGCCATCGATGCACGACAGTGTCGAAGGAAGTGGGCGGGACGCCTGCTTGAGTACAGGAAGCCAGCTCTTCTACGAAGAGACTTTCTCTTCTACTGAAAGTCACATCCCTGTTCAGTGACTCATCGACCGTCCATGCCTTCCCGCAGTCAGGGAGGTATAGACTCTCACTGAGGAACTCCGTTCGGCCTAGAAGAGGGACAATTGATTGACCCTGGTTTACTCGGTCGAAGCTGCTCAACGTGGGTATCTTCTAACTCGGTAGAAGATCTGGGCACCGCGGCCGTGGGCCCGAATCTTACTTGATAAGATACGCTGACGCCCACTGTCCCCTGTAACCGGTCTGCTACAGTACGTACAGGACACTGCTGTACTGTAGTACTACGACGTCGACATCCGACCTAACATGGTTAAATATAACCCGACCGCGGTCTACGACCCTGCATTTTTCTTATTGCAGTGCACTGTGGAGCACTGCAGGTCCATGGAGAGAACGGTCCGACAGAACTCCGCCAAGCATTTCGAGCGGATGTTGGAAAGAGCAAGCAGTGTAGGATTGATCGCCATTTTATTTTTTGTCAATTCAACACTTCAAGGAGGAGGTGCAATGCAAAGAGTATTCATAAGATATGCTGGGTATATGTTCCAATTACGATACGAGCTGTATCGTTTTCCACCTTTGTTTCAAATTCTCTTCAATTCCGGTTTATATACTTCTATGTATTCATTAACAGTCATCCTTACAACATGTTTATACGTAACAATCTGTGAGAATGATATTAACTATATGTCCTGTATTTGACTTGAAATATGAGAAATAGGTTTAAAACTAATATTGAAGCAAAAAAATTTTAAACGAATTATATATTAATTCAATAATTTATCAATAAATATAGGTTAAAAAATACTTCTTCATAT